TTATGGCAACACACACACACACACACACACACACACACACACACACACACACACACACACACACACACACACACAACCAATTCTCCTTGGCCAGCTGAAGCTCACCCAAGATTGCAAGTACAGGCCCTTCAGGGCTGGTCCGGTTGGCCCAACAGTGCAGCAGAAACTGCGCCAACGATTTTTGGGGGTCCACCAGGCACTAGAAAATCATCTGAGGACCCCAATTTTTTTTTTCAAATTTTCTCGAAATGGGGCCCAACCGGACCCCTCAAACCAGACACAGGATCCGGACATCCAGACCGGAGCGTCTGGATCCCGATCCGGACGTCCGGTTGACAACCATGCTTCCATTAGTACACTCTTTCTTTCATAGACACTTCGTTTGTACCATAAACGCCATAGGATTGCTTTCCTACCCAAGGTAAACAAATTTTGTTAAAAACAAACAAACAAACAAACAAAAAAACAAAAACAAAAACAAATTTTGTTGAAACTTGAAAGACTGACACAGAGAGATTTGGAAGGACCCAATGACCGAACAAAATAGTTCTCCAGTCCCAAGGTCAAGCCATCTCAGGATTCTCAGCCAGTTGTCTCCAGATGCAATCCCATCTTCACCACATCAGTATAAAACCAGGACATTGAGTGAATAAATATTCAATTGTTTCACGATATTTTCTTGAGGGATATGCTGAGAGCCTGAGACATATGATTCACACCAAGGGGTCGTCGCTGCTCGTTGTTCCAACATAGTGTGATCAATCAACCAGACATGTAGGCTGCCAGAGTGGCCTGGGGTCATTTGCCCGGCCGGGCCCAAAAAAAAAAAAAAAGAAAAAAAAAATATTTTTTAATTTTATTTTTTATTCTAAATTTGATGAAGAATTTCGATGTGACCCTCAGGCAAGAGTTGTTCAGTTTATTTTTGTGCATAACATAGTTTTTTGTTTTCGGATTTTTAGGGTTTTCTTTTTTTTTTTTTTTTTTGCTGGGACTTTCCCTGGTCCTTGCACGGGCTGGCCACCCGGGACCCGGGCGACCCGGCTGGTAGCCTAGCCAGACATTAGTTGGTAAACACTTTTCCATTATTTATCATTAAAGAAACACAACCTTTGTTGGACACTCCTTAAGACCCTTAAACCATCGTACACGCCTCAGTCTATCCATACTAAGGTTCAAATGTCGTACTCATCGTTCCTGCAGGATGGCTGACACACCCACTCTTGGTCGCATCAACCGATACACTGCCTTGACCGAGGCGACTATAAGGTTTTAGAAAAAAAAAAARAAAAAAAAAAGAAAAAGGTTTTAGAAAAAAAAAAAAAAAAGGTTTTAGATTTACCTGATTTACTGACTTTTACCAAATCCATTCTTCAGAATGCAGAGGCAGTCTCCACTAATTAATTTCCTTGTGAAATATGAGAGACCCTGATTCTATAAAAAGCCTCAAATAGAAATAGATTCACCCTGTCTGGGTGTATCATAGAAAGGGACCAGTCTCCATGGAGTTTGAAAATATTCACCATAACTCCTTCCAGTTGTAGTATAATTATTTGTCCCAACACTAATTTGAAATTTCCTTGTGAATTGTTATTATTGGCGTCAAAACAAACCACCCAGTCGACTTCACGACAGACCGGACTTTTTTTTTTTTTTTTTTGGTACCGGACTCAAAGTGCCCATCCATGGTAGTATTATTAAGAATATAATAATAATATGATATAAAGATGCTGTGCCTCTGGGAGTCTTTCTGATTTGTTTCTGGTCATTTCGAATCCCTTTCGCTGCATCCCTTAAATCTTTGATTCTTAAAATTTCTCTCTCGAGTCTCGACCCTGGTGACCCCCACCCAGGTAACCCACCCACGGAGTTGACAAACTCATTGACACCCTCCCATTCACATCCGTCCGTGACCAATCTATTACCACAGACTGACGTACGTAATATTTTTTTTTTTCTTTTTTTTTTTTACGAAATATTTTCCAATAACGAGTCAAAAATGGAATATCTGGCGACGGTAGTTGCCTCCATGTTTGTTTGTTTGTTTGTTTGTTTGTTTGTTTTTTTTTTTTGTTTTTTTTTTTTCAGTTGCCTCCATGTTTTAATTGGTGTAATTGAGAAGTTGTGAAAGTTTAACTTGAAAGGTGAAAGTTGAAATCCTTTATTAATTCACTACGAACTCCCTCCTCGTGGGGATGAAAAATTGCGCTAGGGATGCTCCAGTAGAAGTATTCCACCCAAGGGAGAGGATGAGAGTGTCAATAGTTTGGGAAGTTTTGAGGTGTGCAAGTCTTTCTAATGTGCCATTGGCTGCCAAGGGGAAATGCACAGTTTGTGAGAATACCAGTGTTTCGAACTTCTTTCATTCATTGGAGCGCCAAGCCTTGGTATTGCAGCGAAGGAATTAAGTATTCTTAATCCTCCTCTTGTCTTAGGTTGAATAAGGGTGAGCCAAGCAAGGGTGCGCCAAGCAACACGTGGTATGGCCTTGAGGGCCTCTTTATCCCCTCGCCAACAAAAAAATATAAGTTGTTGCTTCAATGCTCTAATGGTTGCCTGAGGGCCAGATCCCACTAGGTAGCCCCTATTGTTCATTTCTGACCGTTGATCTTCGTAATCGAGGGTCAACAATGAATAATCCATGGTAGTGGCCCACTAGTGGGATCTGAACTTTACTCAGTGACTGAATTGCAAACATATACCAAATAGATACCAGCACTAATTTATTGATAAGCAGTGTCGTGCCAAAGACAGAGGTGTATTCTTTTTTTTTTTTAATTCATTTTTTCTAGTACTGGCCCAAAAATTAAGTTGTCATTCGACGAGCCTCGTTTACCCTGTGCTGTGAGTGATGCACCCAGAATCCGAATCGGAGTGCAACAACAACGACGACGACAACAACGACGATGACAACAACGACGACGACGACGACGACGATGACGAAGAAGAAGAAGAAGAAGAAGAAGAAGAAGAAGAAGAAGAAGAAGAAGAAGAAGACAACAAGCCTAGCTCAGTTGGTACACCCATGGACCGCTGAATTACAGACCCAAGTTTGAATCCTGATGGACGTTGATGGATGCAATGAAATAATTCTGAATTACCTGCTGTTGCTCAACTCGATGACGATATCTCAAGACCGTTGCCCTTTCAAAAGAAGAAGAAGAAGAAGAAGAAGAAGGAAGGAAGGAAGGAAGGAGCTTCACGGAAGGAAGAAGAAAGAAGAATACCCTCTCAACATGGCAGCTCAGAATAAATCTCTGATTCCTTAATCCTAGCGTCCCCATACCTCCTTATTGAACAGCCTAATGAGCAAATAAATCACTGTGAACTGTGAATTGCGGATCGAAAAACCCTAAACCAAAAATTGATACTCCTTCCCAGTGCCAATTTCCAGGTGTCGTACAAAACCTTCAAACACTTGTTTCACTTGTCTTCCCCTTTGTCCCCTTTACACAAACTCTGTCCAAAGGCCGCAATCAGCAACGCCTCAGCGCGTCCTTGACGACAACACACACACCACATTCAAACAATGAAAGGAATTCAGAGCAAACAATGTACACAAAAACCTTTATCAGTCGGTCCCCTCTTCAATCACAACTGTTTGATACTGTAATAACAGTATGATTTGTTAGTGTGTTTCCTAGAAAAAGAAAAGCTTGCACTAGAAAGAAAAAACAAGTCAAGTCAAAAAAAAAAAAAAAAAAAAAAAAAAGGGTCGCAAATGGTTGCATGTCATGGGGTGACAGGGAGAGCAGAAAGTTTCTGAGAAAAGGACAAGCCAATTGCGTCCACTTGCAACGGAGCCCCTATGCCAGCTCTTCAAGACATGATTGGCGATCTGATGTGGCAACGAATGGACACAGATGATAAAGTCCAGAGCCAGGCTACCAGCCAGGCCGCCCGGTTCACCTTGTTTGCCCGGGCGGCGGCCCGGCCGTGCAAGGGCCAAAGAACGTCCCAGCCAAAAAAAAAAAAACTATGTTATGCCGAAAAATAAACTGAACGACTTTTGCCTCAGGGTGAGGGCAAAATTCTTTACCAAATTTAAAATAAAAAACAGTTTTTTTTTTTGTTTTTTTTTTTGGTTTGTTTTTTTGGCCCGGCTGGGCAAGTGGTCCCGGGCCACTCTGCTGGCCGGTTCACAGGAAATCGAAGAAGAAACAATACAAAAAAAAAAGAAAGAAAGAACAGAGGAAAGAGACAAGTCTGAGGCAAAAGATGGAAGCAGAGAAACCAGAAATGAAACTCTCTCCCCCTTCTTCGCCTCTCCTCCTCGCCTACTGCTTCAACGGCTTAACCATAACTAAGCGCCCCATGCAAATTGAACACCTGCAAACACATATTTCCGAAAGGTTCAGTCTCTCAGGGCTACCGTCCACAATGGCTGTCCCGCCAGCCAAACAGAAGAAAAAGTGTGCCCACTGCCCACGCCATTTCTTTTTTTTTTCCAGCAAGCAGTCCTTGGGAGGCTTGTGGAAAACAGCCTTGGACGTAGTAGTTGTCCAAACCAACGAGTACCTGGATCCGTTCTCCCGAACTGGCCTGCCTGCAGCTGGTTTGACGCGTACGGGATGGCAAGATTCAAAATTCTCCTCAGGAGAAAATCGCCCTTTCCCCCGTACTGACGGTTTTCACGGCGGCTCGTAACTCGATCATCCCTAATCGTTCTAAGGGCCAGATCCCACTAGTAGCCCCTATTGTTCATTTCTGACCGCTGATCTTCATAATCGAGGATGAAAAATGAACAATCCACGAGCGTGGGATCTGACCCTAAAGTAAAAGCGGGCCTTGCATTGCGCCTCCTGTGGGCCAGCAAGAAATTCGGACAGCAGGCGGTACCGGGGCCGCACGACTGATGGGGACGTTTCCCCTTTATTTTTTGGGCGCGCCTTGGGTATGTTCTGGAAGTTTTTTGGGCGAGTCGTGCTGTGCTGTTTCACTCTGCACCTCGGGTCGGTGTAGCATATGCTCGAATACAAGTACATATAGGGCCTCACTGCACTACTCTAGACCCTCGAAAAATTTTGACAGTTCATCTACAGCTGTCGGTCCTGAGCAACTCTCGAAAACCACGCCGTCGCTGCACTTATTCTCCAACCCTTAACTCTGGAAAAAACTCTCGGTTTTCAATAGCTCGAAGACAACACTGAAGGACAAGTCCAGGCTGGTCTGCGCAACGGGACCGCAGGTTGTCTCTCGAAAAACGAGGCCAGAAGCAGACAAACAACACTGAGCAAGAAAAGAACGGACAGGAAGTTGACAAGCAGCAAGGCAACAAGACAACAAGGCAGACAAAAGAACAAGTAGCAAAAAACAAACAAAGCAAAAAAAAAAAAAACTGATGATAGATTGTTTCGTCGGAGTCGCACCGACTCATCAGGAGGCTGAACCCTCGACAATCTACAGAATCTCCGTGTTTGATGGTTTGGGTCATGAACCCTTTGACCCATGTTGAAGGCAGACTGTCCCCAAGTGGAACATAGCAGCGGGAAGCAACCCTGCGGAGCACCAGGCAACACAGTAGAGGCAACACGGCTGCACAACGCCAAAAGCGACTGCAAGGAACGACATGGCACACAGGACATGCAGCGCGGCAGCTGTGTAGTGGAAGTTCCAAATTCATTGGTCAATCAGCAGGACAAGCAAGGCAACCCCACTGTAAGGGACGACAGGGCGAGCGGACCAGCAGCTCGGCAACCGTGCAGCGAAGCACAAGGCAACAGCAACAAGGCAACCGAACTACAAGGCGTGCAAGCGGCAAACACGGAAGGCACGGCCAGCGGATGAGCGGCAAGGCAGCGGAGCAGCGAAGCGCAAGGCAACACCAACAACACGGCCACACCTCGCAGCGAACACAGCAATTTGCGGAGAACCACATGCGAAGCCAGCAGGACAAGCAACAAGGCAGCGGCGGAGTGCAGACGAGGCAGTCCACCCATCCGACACAGAGCAAAGCGGCGTATGACCTACTCACATTACGATTGAATCCCACAGACTGTTGGTTCCCACCACCCACTGAGCCAGGGAGATACTCCGACGAGCATCCGTCATCACCCATAGGGAACACAGACATCCCGAACAGAGCGGCCCCCCGAAGAGTGCCGTAGGCACTCCAAACGAGGAACCACCGACTGTTTGGCACTACTTAAGGGTGCTCAGTTGGGCACAAAAAAAATAGAAAAAATCAGAGGGAAGACAGACAACAGGAGAAAGACTGACAGACATAAAACTGATTGTGTGTGTGTGTGTGTGTGTGTGTGTGTGTGTGTGTGTGTGTGTGTG